CCCTAAAAAAGTGACTTTGGAAGATCTGGGACCTGAATCTTAAACCTCGCACCTGGGCGCCTCGAAATCCGAAGCCCAGAACCCGCAATCGCGATCCCGGACCTTTGAGCGCAAGACAAAGCGAGCCAGAGTTTTAGGCTTTAGGGGCGGTTAAGGGTTTATGGTTTATAGAGTTTAGGGTTTAGGGTCTGGGCCCATATAAGCCCTATTCAAACAGCACTTAAAACCCACAATCCTGAAAACGCTAAGCCCCCGAACCGCAAAGCTCTAGAGCACAGACCAATGCCCAACATAGAGCCTTCGAGACGATAGCATGCCGATAAGCAACGACAAGCACACCGCACCAATCACAACAGTTACGCGCTGCCTCTGGCTCCACTTGCGCAGCTGTTGCTTTCTCAGCCAAGGATTCAAGGTAAAGCTCCTGACGCTCACCATACTTGGTGTTTCGGAAATGTTCGGGTTGCCTCTGTTGAACGTTTTAGGTCTGGCTGGCCTATGTTCGGAGCTGCGTAAGTGGCAAAATGAGGATTTGCACTCAGCAAGTTTCGCAGCATAATGAGGTTTCACGCCAATCTGAAGTGTGGCAGCTGCTGATAAACCCACCAGTGTCTAAGAAGCTGCTCTCAAGAAAAGACCAAGCAAGCCATGTCCCTATACACGTGTAGTCGCCTGCACCAAAGCACATGTTCTCAGAGCCTGAAAAACGTATAACACAAATGTCATACCCAACAGCAGATATATGTACATGCAAGAGTTCCTCCAGATTCTTTCACACATCTAAATACCATCAAAAGCGGCTACCTTATTATGGGGTCCTTTGGACCCTTAGGGTCAGGCAAAACGACTTCCCGGGTCCCGTTGAGCTCCGTCTTCGGCCAGGGACTGGACGTACTGCACCTCGGATGCTCAAAGGTTGAACATTCGGGGTTTTGGGGGGCTTGGGGGCTGAAGGGCTTTGGGGGTTTAGGGTTGAGGGTTTAGGGCTTTGAGGGCTTAGGGTTTAGGGCTTTTGGGGTTTTGGGGGCTTATGGTTTAAAGCTTTGGGGGTTTAGGGTTGAAGGTTTAGGGCTTTGGGGTTTTAGGGTTGAGAGTTTAGGCAAACACTTGCAAGTGAGCATGTCCGACGGTGCCATGTGACACATCCATTTCGCTGTAGGTTCAATAAAAGTACAGTACGTTGATGGTTTAGGGGTTTGGGGGATTAGGGTTTAGGGTTTTGGGGGTTGGGGGTTTAGGGTTTTTTGTGTGTTGGGTTTAGGGTTTTAGGGGGCTGGGGGCTGAGCGTTTTGCAACTTAAGTGTTGAGGGTTTAGGGCTGTGGGGGTTTAGGGTTTGGGGGTTTTGGGTTGAGGATTGCGGGCTTAATAAAAATTGCGGGGTAAATTAAGGTGTAGTTTTTAACAATATGCGAACCTGACAGAATCGTGAGAATAGGTTTCTTTGTTGGTTCACTTTAAAGGGGTCTAGAAGGTTGCTAATCAAGGTCACTATGCCAATGATGCGAACAGGGTTTGGGTTTATGTTGCTGTATAATTCCATAAGGTCTGTGAGAAAACTATTACCAGTTGTTTAGACCCCTGCACTAGGGCCTTTGGGCATAGGGTAAAATTTACCCAGACACGAGAATGTAGCAACTGCATACCGTCTTTTCCTATTCTAGGGTCTAGGACCCAGGTGCGAATCATCGAACAAGCTCTCCAACACACACACACACACACACAGGTACGTACCGTTGAGGGTCTAGGTCGGGTTTAAGGGTTCATGGCAGGCTCCTCTTGCAAATAGCTCAGGTCATGCCCCTATAGCAAATACGAGAGCCACTAGAGGTGAATCTAGGGATGGGGAAGTTTAAGGCTTCGGCTTTTCTACGCTACTGTGGTCCTATAGGTGTGGTAGAAGGCTCATTATATCGGTCTTAAAATGGGCTTCAAGTGCTTTCTCCTGCCCGATAAGCCTTCTGCATGAAAAGCTCGTTATCCCACGTAATTACCCCTAAACCCCTAGCGCCAGAGCGGTACCCAAAACCTCAAACCGTCCAAAACCGCTACGCCCTCAAGTCCTTTTTGCTCTACTCCGCAAGACGTGTACCCTAATCCCACAAGACAACTGCAGAGACGCCATGAAGATTAAGCCCTCCAGAATCAAACCGTCAACCTCACTTCAGCTATCGTGCTGTTGACTCGACTTACCATCTGCTTTCTAACTAAGTCCCCTGATTAAGCAGGGAATCAGATGGCCACTTGAATGTGTAAGGGTCATCTAACCCTCATGTTTATAGCTAGGTCTACAGGCTTGAGGCTTCGGGCTTCAGGGTTTACCCTAAACCCTAAACCCTAAACCCTAAACCCTAAACCCCTAAACCTAAACCCTAAACCCTAAACCCTAAACCCTAAACCCTAAACATGGAGGTGTGCGCGAAACCGGTCCGATATCACCAGCAGTGTGCCGACCACGATTGCGCCAACCTCATCAGCTTCTGATTTGGAGATTGTACACTTGAATATGTGTATACAGATACATAGATATGTATGTCTGCGTGTACAGCTATAAAATTGAAATATGTATACCTAGATATAACATGTAGATAGACATACCAGTAATCAGTATTATATAAATATAAATATAGATATAGATAAATTAAAAATGCATGTGTATGTTTATATATATATATATACACGGGTACGGGTAGATGTCAACATCATGATCCTTTTTGGCAACTCGATATAATTCTACTCCAGGGTCTGGGAACAGAAAAGAGACGCCAATTGGGGATTTTGGACAACCACCCATATATATATATATATATGTGTATATATATATATATATACATATATATATATATATATACACATACATATAAATATATAAAATATAAACCCTCAAACCCTAAACCTCTCTCTCTCTCTCCGACCTTAAGGATTATGGATCCAGGATTTATATTCACGCGGTTTTGGTTTATAGGGGACTCCAGAACAGTAGTATTCTTTACGCGGACCCGCTTGGGCCGCACGAGACTGCGTGCGCGCAGCAAGCCCACCCGCGAAAGGATGCCATGTTACAAAACATCAGGACGGGGGACTTGACAAAATCTAAACCCGTAGTAGCCCTGAAGCACCCAAACCCACCAAACCTTGGACCCTAAATGCCACAGTAGCCCCTATAGAACACTTAAGACAAACCCTGAATGCCTTAAACAGAACCTAAACCCTGAACCCTAACGCTTCATCTCTAACCAAGTTGCAGCGACAACGACAGCAGTCTCCACCCAACTCCGCAGTTGCTGGGGGCGCACTGGTTCATTGGCCTTGGGGGCTCCTATGAGCTGGGATGTGGGGTTTAGGGGGTTGGGGTTTAGGATTTTTTTCAGGTCATACCCTACCCCTGTTTGGGAGCACCTACATTTTTACAAAAATCGAATCCTACCCATAAGGGGCAAACTATTACCCTCTGAAGTAAGACTTAGTGTTTAAGGCTGTGAGGTTTGGGGCTTATAGGGTTTAGAGTTGATGTCGTGGCTGTAGAGGGCTTGTTGTTTGGGACCTTTAGTGTGCGAGGTTTAGGGCCCAGGGCTTGAAGCTTTGTATAAGCTTTCTTGTTCGGTGATTCGGGATCCATGGTTCAGGG